AGACTGAGACAAGACCAAGACCAAGACCAAGGCATGACGAGACCAAGACAAGACCAAGACCAAGGCATGACGAGACCGAGACAAGACCAAGACCAAGGCAGGACGAGACCGAGACAAGACCAAGACCAAGGCATGACGAGACCGAGACACGAAAAAGACCAAGGCATGACGAGACCAAGACAAGACCAAGACCAAGGCATGACGAGACCGAGACCGAGACAAGACCAAGACTAAGGCATGACGAGACGAGACCGAGACCGAGACAAGACCAAGGCATGACGAGACCGAGACAAGAAAAAGACCAAGGCATGACGAGACCAAGACAAGACCAAGACCAAGGCATGACGAGACCGAGACCGAGACAAGACCAAGACTAAGGCATGACAAGACCAAGCCCAAGCCCAAGCCCAAGACCAAGACCAAGACCAAGACCAAGCCCAAGGCAGGACGAGACCAAAACAAAACCAAGACCAAGGCATGACGAGACCGAGATAAGACCAAGACCAAGACCAAGGCATGACGAGACCAAGACAAGACCAAGACCAAGGCAGGATGAGACCAAGACCGAGACAAGACCAAGGCAGGACGAGACTAAAACAAAACCAAGACCAAGGCATGACAAGGCTGAGACAAGACCAAGGCATGACGAGACCGAGACAAGACCAAGGCATGACGAGACCAAGACAAGACCAAGACCAAGGGAGGACGAGACCAAGACAAGACCAAGGCAGGACGAGACCGAGACAAGACCAAGACCAAGGCAGGACGAGACAAGACCAAGACCAAGACCAAGACCAAGACCAAGACCAAGACCAAGACCAAGACCAAGACCAAGACCAAGGTCAAGGCAGGACAAGACTGAGACAAGACCAAGACCAAGACCAAGACCAAGGCATGACGAGACCAAGACAAGACCAAGACCAAGGCATGACGAGACCAAGACAAGACCAAGACCAAGGCAGGAAGAGACCAAGACAAGACCAAGACCAAGGCATGACGAGACCGAGACAAGACCAAGACCAAGGCAGGACGAGACTGAGACAAGAAAAAGACCAAGGCATGACGAGACCAAGACAAGACCAAGACCAAGGCATGACGAGACCGAGACCGAGACAAGACCAAGACTAAGGCATGACGAGACCGAGACCGAGACCGAGACAAGACCAAGACTAAGGCATGACGAGACCGAGACCGAGACCGAGACCGAGACAAGACCAAGACCAAGGCAGGAAGAGACTGAGACAAGACCAAGACTAAAGCAGGACGAGACCAAGACTGAGACAAGACCAAGACCAAGGCAGGACGAGACTGAGACAAGACCAAGACCATAAATTTTACAGAAAAATCCTCATCTTGTGTTTAGTGGGCGTGTCTAACACCGGGAAGGTCACAGTCGAAACCTGGGGATAAAAATCAAATATAAATTTAAGTTTTTTCTTTTAGAAAGAGGCGTTTTCCTTCTAATCACAGTGATGATGTCAGTGGTGGTCTTGACCGGTCTTGATTTAAATCCGGAGTCCCCCCAGTCTGAGACCGAGACAAGACCGCGTCAAAACGCTTTAGATTCCTAGACGATTTGGAGTACTACAACACTTCTATCAGTCCTAACAGAGGTCTTTCTCTCCCTCTCTCGCTCTCTCTCTCGCTCCCTCTCTCTCTCTCCCTCTCTCTTTCTTTCTCTCTCTCTCCCCCCTCTCCTTCTCTCTTTCTTTCTCTCTCTCTCTCTTTCTTTCTCTCCCTCGCTGTCTCTCTTTCTCTCTCCCTCTCTCTCTTTCTCTCCCTCTCTCTCTCCTCGATGTCTGACTCTAGCTCAGTCCCGTCTCTACATAAGTCTTAAAACATGACATCCTTAGACTCTGGATAAAGTCCTCTGTGATATAAATCTTTCCTCAGCATGAACTTTAAGTCTGTTTGTCTCTTTCAGGAATATTCTTCAACTTCCACTTCATAATCATCGTGAAAGAAATTAGATCTGCAGCAGACATCAAGACAGGACAGATACACAACAGACATCATCAGAGACGCAGACACAGGAAACATCTCACAGGCGCTTTGAGCCAGAGGCTGAAACCGCTCAGACACACTGCACAGAAACATGCACCACTACAGGTCAAAGGTCATCTTCACAGTGTCTAATGAAAGGTCGTCCACAGCTTCAGTAATGCCAAACTTTTTGATATCGAGTGTTTTAAACGATCTGTGGATAATGATGGAGAGTTTCGAACAGCACTAAAGCCTCTTCAAAGCATGCTAGGGCCGAGGAAGAGTACTGAACTCAAGTCAAAGGAGCTGGACTTTATGAGTGAAGCGTGTTTTGCCTTGTGTGAGTGCGCCCTCAGTCATTGTTTTTGTTTATTTTGAGTACATAACCACAAAACTTTTAAATACCTGGATCCAGTCATGCTCCACATTCCTGAGCTGCTGCTGAACACCACAAATCTGCAAAAATATAAACGAGACACACGAGGGAAGTGGAACACATTCTTCATTCTGGCCTCAACAAGGAACATCTTTTGTATTACACACGCACATATACACAGACACACACACACACACACACACACACACACACACACACACACACACACACACACACACACACACACGCACGCACACACAAACACACACGCGCACACACACACGGCTCTGTGATCAGGAGGGAGGGGGCTGCTTGGGGCGGCGTGTCAAACATGTCTTTGAGGACGTGTTCAGCTTCAGGCTTCCAGACAGTGTGTGTGTGTGTGTGTGTGTGTGTGTGTGTGTGTGTGTGCGTGCGTGCGTGCGTGTGTGTGTGCGTGTGTGCGTGCGTGTGTGCCTGTGTGCCTGTGCGCGTGTGTGCGTGTGTGTGTGTGTGTGTGTGTGTGTGTGCGCGTGCGTGCGTGTGTGTGTGCCTGTGTGCGTGTGTGCGCGTGTGTGCGCGTGTGCGCGTGTGTGCGTGTGTGCGTGTGTGTGTATTATGTAGGCCACACATCACTCAGATTTTCAGGTTCAGTCATTTAGCTGTTTGTGTTTGAAAAAAAAAACTTTCAGACAAAAAAATGTTTTTCAGCTTCAGCTTCACTACGACACATCCATCCCTCCTGTCAGAGCGCCCCCTACAGGCCCGGAGCCGTTCTGCATTGCGACCGCACTTTGATAAACTGGAACATCATCCAGTATGCTCAGAAACTTTCCCTGCCCCGTCTTTCTTTTTAAGATTTGTTCAAAGCCGCTCGCTCATTCATGGACATCTGAAGAGTTGATAATCAACCTTCACGCTCAGCCTGCGGGTTTTATTTCCTCCCACGCCGATCAGCCGGGAATTCAGGCTCCGATTCACAGCGATGACTTTTTATTTTCCCCTTTTTTTGTGTCCGATGGCGGAGGAGAGCTCTGACATGAAAAGTTCAGCTTCCTGTAATCCGTTTGCCTTTGTGAGGGAGGTGACTTTCAAACTAGCTATCGCTAAACCCCCCCCCCCAACTCACCGCATAGAGAGAGAGAGAGAGACGTCCACAGAGGAGCGTCCATCTTTCTGTTTTAATCCTGCGTTTTGTTTGGGGAATAATAAGTCTCCTTTTTTTTCCGCTCTGAACTCGTCTCTCTCTCTGCGTGCACGTGGAAATTAAAACTTTTGGGTTTGTGTCAGAGATTAGCATGGAGTGGAGGTCAAACATAATGGCTTCCGTTTAACGAGAAAGTAGATATGATTATTCTGCACTTGCTCTCCGCTCAACTTTTGTCCTCAATCTAAACGGAGCCGCTCTGACAGCTCTGCCCTCATTACGCTGCAACAAAAGAGGCCGCTGCTCGCTGTTTGTCCTCCTGTATTTAACATCAGAGTGAAAGAGAGACAGAGAGACACGTCTTCAGAGATACCCCCTCCTCCTCTGTTTACTGTCATATTTATACCAACAAAGGCTTTTGTCGTCTTCACAGGAACAAATGGATGAATATTCAGCGTGTACTCAGAGATTAAACAGGACTACACATGATTTAACGTGTGTGTGTCTGAACTCTACCGCCTTATTGGTTCAGATAACCATAATCTACCTCGGATTACATCGACTGCAGAGCGATAAAAACACACAAGATCCCCCTAAATCTACTCGTCTGTCTGCGGGCGAGGAGGAGTGGCTGGATTACATGACGGGTCTACACATATTGGGATTTCTTCTTCATTTGTAGTCCAACATATTGAGGTCATGTTCGCACACTTACACATGTTTTTCAGAGAGTAATCACGTGTGTTCATTTTATGTTCGGATTAATGCTGGAAATCTTTAATCACGCTGCTCGATCAAGAAACTCCCGTCGACATGCTGAGGACAAGATGAACTCTGAAGAGAAATAAAAACACAGCAGGAGGTCGAAAGCATGACTTAAAGACAGGGTTGGTCCTCTTAAAAAACTAGCATGATTTTGAAAATAGCATTCCCTCAGTGCTCCGTCTACATCCCCCCCTCCCCTCTGTGCTCCCTCTAAAGCCACACCCCCTCACTCACATACAGAGCGCCGTCCCTCCAGAAGAGGACCCTGCTCATCTCTTACATTGCTTTGCTCTTTTGCCTTTGAACATTTACACAACTTAACCAGCAAAGAGAAAAGGAGAAAAGAGGTACCACACTTGTACTAAGGGGGCGCCTTTTGTAGCTCATTGGCGGCGGTCGCCATGTTGGAAATGTTTATTCAAACTGACTTTCAGTTACTGTTTTACTTTTAAACTGACCAATGACAAAACAACAAGGAAGTGGACCGCTATAAGACCGCTTCTGTCTCTTCAATGCTGCATCAGCGCGGTGCGGGCCCGTTTCATCCCCTGAGCTGCATGGTAGGTCGAGCAGTAGTGCTCGGTCACGGTTCGAGACACCGCGCCTTATGTGAAAACTCCCTTGGATAGCGCAGTCTGAAAATGTTCCAATAGGAATAAAGGACCCTTCAGGAAGACGCAGGTTTGAATCCTCGACTGTGAACACAAAAACAATAGAACCCTTTCAAAATAAAAACACACTGGACATTCATTTTCACCATTTTTCAGTTTATTGTTGGCATATCGGTGTGTTTGTGTTTGTAATGTGTGAGAAAGTCATGTGTGTGTGTGTGTGTGTACTGAATCCCGCCGCAGTGCTGACAAACACCGTCTGCTTTTGGCCTTTTTGTTTCCTTATAAATGGACCCTTAAAAGTTTTGGTTACAATGACACAAAAATTACCATGAATGTCTAACCCGCCGCCTCCCGTACTTATGGACATGACCGTTTATCCCCAAAGTGGAAAAAAAAGAAACAAACTGATGTGAAAGGATGAGAAGTCGAGTTTTACATCTGCTAAGGCTGTTGTGTCTCTCTCCACGCCTCCTTCAACCTCCAATCAGAATGTGAACCCAGCAAACGGATAGCACGCCTTCAGAACAAGTAGATATAGATAGATTTATATATAGAGTTTTATATTCAGCTTGAAACGTTTTAAAAGAGTACAGTAAACACTTCTCACACATGATAGAAACTACTCCACGCCTCAGAACCAGAAAAAGAGCGGGCCGGACGGCGTCCGGTGAACAAACCAAAGCCCCGTCAACATAAAGAAAAGATAAATAAAAAAATATCCTGCCCACAGTCTTTTCTTACAAAGTGTGAAGTAGATCGGAATAGAGACACCTGACCGCACGAACAGAATAGAAAAATCTAAAACAGTGGTGTTGCATCTTCAAATGCACAAAGATTCTCCTGTACAGTTTGGCGTCGCTCTGTCTCTCTCTGCGAGTTCAAACGCCTAAAGGGCTCAGTGGCGGTGTTTCTCCCGAGTGGCTCTCGTATCGATCAGTCTTTTTGAAGCAGTCCTCGTCTGGTTTTTGATTCTCCTCCTGTAAACAGGCACACGCAGATTGGAAAAGCTCCGAGAGATCAGAGTCCCTCCTCCTCCTCCTCCTCGTCCTCCGTTAGGTTCTCAGTCCGGCTGAGACAGTGGGGTCCTCCCAGCGAGTAAGGCTATTCATCCACCTCCCTGCAAACCCCCCCCCCCCCCCCCCCCAAAAAAAACAGTTCCACATCCTGCAGGTGGGGTCAGTGCTCCAAAGAGTCCAGGATGGAGGGATCTTCACTTCCTTCTTAAGGTGTGTAATCGTGTTTTTATTGGTAGTTTATTTTTATTTTCCCAGGTGAGGAGGGGGGAGACAGGGTGGGGGGAGGGGGTGAGGGTGGGGTTGGGGCTCAATTTTGATGCTTTCTTTTTTTTGTAGCCTTGGTCGTCCAGGAGTGATTGTGCAAAGTCACGCGGTCTCTGGTATGTCCACGCGAAAGGAGCTAGGAAACCCTTTTCCTCGCTGCAAGAAGAAGAAAACAAGATTAGTCAGTGTGTGTGTGTGTGTGAGTCTGAGTGTGATAAACAACAACAAGGGGAAACAGAAAACAGACAGAGTGGAGGTCAGAGCGTTTCAAACCTTGTCCGTAATATTTCACACATTTGGGTGAAAATGTTTCGTTACTTCGATTATTTTAAGTTTTTACGTCTCATAAAAAGATAAAGATGATTTTAAATGATGTGTTTATGTTTTATCAGACACACACACAGAACACAAACACATCAGCAGTGTTTTAGTGCAGACGCCGTGCAGAAGTCTGCCTGCAGATTTTAAAAGAAGAAATTACAAAATATCAGGAACGCCTAGAGCTCCCTTTTTTTGTTGCCATGGTACCTAAACAGGTCTGTATATAGTTTGACTTTTACTACTTTTATATCTGAAGTTTAAAGTGATGGAATCATCCCAGCAGATTTCTGAAACAGGCTGTCACGTCTGCATCTTAAACCATCTCTATACTCTTAAAACAACAATACAGAAAGGTCCCAACAGAGAGGGAGAGTTTAAGGTTACAGAGGAAGATGCACTCTGGACTGGTTTAGACCCAAAGTTAGAAAAACAGAAACGGTCTAAAGACATGAATGTGTCTCGTGGTTCACAAGAAAAACAAAGACAGGAAGTCTCACGGCTCGTCTCAATTCACTCGTGTGAAATGGCTCATGGGTAATGTGTGTGTGACTATGTATTTGGGTTGGGGGGTTATGGGAAAAGTAGCCTTTTGCTTAGGGGGGGTGGGGGCTGGTTTTGTATTTGGTGGCCAATTTATTTAGGACGGCAACAAAGCTGGAGGTTTAACAGACAAGCCCCCCCCCCCATAATCATTCGGCTCTGGCTTTCCTCTCTCTCTCCTCAACATGGCCCCCCACCCTGACCCGACCCCAGGCCAGACTCAGCCCCCCCCCCCCCCCTCGGGGACAAAGAGCCTCTGTGTATCAGTGACTTGATCAGATTAGGGAGCTTCAGCCTCTTGGTATCATCCCTTCCTCCTGTGCCTCCCCCCTCCTCTCCCCTCTCTGACTGTTGTTCCCTCTGTGCCATTAACCCCCCCCCCCCCCCCCCCCCCCACTACCCCCTCGACTACCTCCCCCGCTCTCATTAGCATAAGGGCCACAGTGATTACTTTGCAGGAGGAGTGAGTGGCTGTTCGTGGGAAACGCGCAGATATCGGGAGCTCTTCACATCGAGTGCTGCATCACAAGCATATAATCAGCACATCCATGGAAACTGCACACACACACGCACACACACACACACACACACACACACACACACACACACTCAGAGTACATCACACTGCAGGTCAACTTGTGGAATAGTTGCTGTTTTGTTGCGCTGTTCTGAAATCTTTTTCTATTAATAGAAGATAATATTTTACGTAGTATAAGAACACGTTTCCTTGAGATTCTAAACTCTGGAACTGTTTTAATGTTTTTAATATAATAAAATCTCCATTATATAATGAATCCATTGTTTTCAAAAAGCACCAAAGCTTTAATAAAAAGTCAGATCTTCAGTCAGATTAAACTAAAAGCTTCTGCAGAGAGAGAGAGAGAGAGAGAGAGAGAGAGAGTGTACATCGTTATCGGTCTCCTTTATTTAAAATCCTTCACTTTGCTCTCTCTCTCTCTCTCCTCCCTCTCTCTCTCTCTCTCTGTCTCTCTCTCTCTCTCTCTCTGAGTCTGACCATAGAAACAGGCCGTCATAGACAGAACCGTCAAGCCAGAGAGGCCAGGCTGTGTTCACTCTGCCATCGAGGAGAAGTGGAGACAGAATCTCTCTTCTAAACTGTAATAAATATAAAGATTTAAGAGAGGCTTTGAACGTATCAATGATGCATATCCTGAGTTTAGAAATCTCCCGATTCTCAGAAGCTTCCCCATGTGGGGGGAAAAGTCTGTGTGCAGGACGAGCTGCAAAATATGGTTGTCACAAATTAAGACAAACTACACTGAATGTTTCTTAGAAATAACACCCAAAAAATGTTTCTCGCTCTTCTTTTTAAAGCTACTTCAGACATTATCGTCTGATTTCATCATCATTATAGTTTTAATTACAGATTCTTCATTCAACATGTCCTTGTTTCTCATCGTGCAGCATTAACCTGAAACCCTCACAATAACAATAACAATCATGATGTTCAGACAAACGAAGAGTTAAACTCTTTATTCCTCTTCTGAAAGGTCACGACCTCATTAGGACTTCATGGTTTCAGAACCACTTCATCACTTAATCCAACGTTTGTTATTTAAAAAAAAGCATCTCAAACTCCCAAAGTGGATTTATATTCTACTCTTTTAATTTCTTCTTCTGTTTTCTCATCACGTCTCGTTCTCCTCAAACACACACATCTGTTCACTGCACAAAGGAATCTTTAACCCTAAAACACTCAAAGCTGCGTTTCATGTAAACGAGGGTTAATTTAGTCAAAAATTAAAAACATCTTTTCAAACATGTCAAATGTTTTTATGGTAAATGGACTTGAGCTTATAAAGCGCTTTTCTAGTCTTCTGACTACTCAAGGCTCTTTTACACTGCAGGTCGCACCTACACATTCACACACTGATGGTAGTGATCACTATGTAGTATCATCAGAAGTAACTAATCCCATTCATACACCACCACTGAAGCAGAGGGAGCAGGGTTAAGTGTCTTGTCCAAGGACACATCAGACATGTTGCCCAACTGGGAATCAGACCCTCGACCCTACAAACTGAGCCATGCAGAAATTCTGATTCCCTGAGAATGGATTACAGTCGCTAATATCCCCAAAAGTCCTTCATCATGTTCTCCCTCTATCTAGTCGTCTACGAGTCTAATCCACAAAGAACAGCTCTGATGATGGAGCTGCACTCTCACATTGATGGAGCTGCACTCTCACACTGCGGAGCTGCACTCTCACTCTGATAGAGCTGCACTCTCACACTGCGGAGCTGCACTCTCACTCTGATGGAGCTGCACTCTCACTCTGATGGAGCTGCACTCTCGCACTGATGGAGCTGCACTCTCACTCTGATAGAGCTGCACTCTCACTCTGATGGAGCTGCACTCTCGCACTGATGGAGCTGCACTCTCACTCTGATGGAGCTGCACTCTCGCACTGATGGAGCTGCACTCTCACTCTGATGGAGCTGCACTCTCACTCTGATGGAGCTGCACTCTCACTCTGATGGAGCTGCACTCTCACACTGATGGAGCTCAGTTCTGTCAACTTAAAGATGATGAGAAGCATCACGTCTCTTATAAATATTGTGGCGCAGTTACCGCCAACTCTCAGCAGACGCTCATTTTGTCACTCTAACAGTTAGTGCCTTTTGCAATGAAGCTGATAAACATGGAAAGAGGCAAATCTTCCTCTAATGACGGCCTAATTCATCATTTAAAAAATGCAAACAACACTGCTGCACAGAGGCGCAGTTTGCTCTGTGGCGCAGTTTTGGGAACATTTAACCCTTTGCGTGTGTTTTGTGAATTAGACAGTGTCTCTTTGACTCATTTGCACGGGTTTAGGCAGCAACAAAAGCCACCATATTGTGAATAATGTGACATTTGGTGTCTGTTAGCTGTTAGCGCTGCTGTTTCTTTTAGACATGTTTTCATTAACGGACACAAAAGCTGCCAGATCCTTTAGAGAATCGGGTTTCTGGCCTTTTCTAATCCTTAATGTTGGATCAGGCAGATTATTTTCACAGTGAGCTGAAAGAAGACGCTGAACTAGTCATTTAAATCTTTCTCACTTGTAAGTGACTGTCTTGCTGGTGTTGTATTAATGAAAGTCTAGTTTTCATAACTCGTTAAATTGGGTGTTTTTGTCGTTGTGTTCTTTTTAACGCTGATCTTCATCTCTCTGCCTTGTTTCTCGTTGAAGAAAGCAGAATGATCTCCCTCTGTTTGCAGATGTGTTCCACTCTCTGCGAGACGTTGTGACTATATTTAAGATGATTTCTCCGCCCTCCCACTGAGACCTGAAGTCCTCTTTGACCTGCTCATGCTCATACACTGTGCATCAACACGTCTTTAATAAACACGTCTCTCTCTGATATGAACACTAGGTAGCTTGCTGACTTCCCTTTTTGATCTGCCATGAGAAAGAGAAGAATCAAATGAATAAAACATTCATTAAAAAGCAGAGTTTTCTTCCTGCTGTTTCCAGCAGCACGCTGCGGTTTGAGAAGACGGCGCCTAGGAAGCGGCGCTGCTCTGACGGTTTGATAATTCAGCTGGCTGTGTGGATGATGAGAGAGGGGGCCTCTTCAGGCGCTGCTTGACTAAATTATAATTAAGCATTATCACCAAATTGCAGTGATTGAGGATGTTTCTCTTTGTGGCCTCTGAATGAGAGCTCCGAACCCGCTGCTCGTTGGGAAATACGTCGTCTTTGACTCCTCAATTATCTAAAACGGTCTTTCTCCTCGGCCGTCGACTGAGAACTTAAGCTTACCGCCTGCCGCTCTTCTTCTCTGGTTTACAATAAAGACGTTTAATAGGTTGCAGCAGCCATTTTCCCACAATGAGACAGAGCAGCCTTAATGTGAACATCCCCGCCCACACTGAGGCCGCCTGACAGAAATCTGCTGCTTTTAGTGTTTCATTTACGAGCTGATCATGGAGACCCCTATTGTGTGTGTGTGTGTGTGTGTGTGTGTGTGTGTGTGTGTGTGTGTGTGTGTGTGTGTGTGTGTGTGTGTGAGTGAATTGAAACGGTGGAGATGAGGGGAGATCAAATCATCACAGAGGGAGATAATGAAGATGTCTGAGAAAGAGGGAAGAGTTAGTTAACACTATGAAGGACAGAGGTCAGACCCCAGAGGAATGGCATGCTTGCTTCCTTCCTTCCTTCCGTCCTTCCTTCCTTCCTTGGAGAAAATTAAATTTGGATCTTTTTTTTGTTCTCTTCACCAGATTTAAACAGAATACTCACTTAAGTAAGCGGGGTTAAAAGGCGCTCTGGAGCTAGGCAGAAAAGCCTCCAACTCTTTCCTCTCTATGGAGCCCTGCTGGTGGCTGAGGTGATGATGGTTTTTGAGGTGTTGGTGGTTTTGGTGGATTTGGTGGAGGTGACTGAGAGGCGTCTCTTTGCCAAACGTGGAGAACGACTTATCAGCCGTCTGCTCGGGGCTTTCAAATACCTCTGTGTCCGGGACCGAGTCCATGCCGGGCACGTGGAGGTTGCTGCGGTAGTCCGGGCCCTGGCGCCCGTCGGAGGGCACGAAGCTCGGCATCCAGCAGCGGTCCGAGTGGCCCAGGGCTTTACACTCCTCCGTGCAGTTAGAGAAGAGATCAGCGCCTGCGGAGGAAGAGGAGGGACACATGAGGAAGCCGTTTAACCCTTAGACAACTGACCTCCATCACAGGGGGGGTTCCGGTTTTATAAGATCCTTTTAAAATCAGACTTTCGTTTTTGGAAATCCAGGACAGCTGCACTTCAGCCAAAACTCTGGGGTTCAAATAAACAACATGTCAAATGTTTGTTTCATTTCTATTTATGGAGCATTTTCTAAACTGTTCTCGAAGATATTTGTGAGTCACAAAACCGTTTGTCTCTGGTTTTACTGATTCTGAGGAAACATTTGAAAACACTCCAACGAACAAGAGAAAAAAACAAACCACTGAAGGCTCCAGGCTTAGTGGACTCCAGTCTACAGCAGAGTTCAGAGAGGTGCAGTCTTTAGCACACACACACACGCACAAAGCTTAGTCCCACATATTTCCACATCTCTCACAATGTGTATTTATGCACCCTGCGCTTTATGTCTCACCGCTGTTAACATCAAAGCCGCCTGCAGTGAGGATAGAACACACACACACACACACACACACACACACACACACACACACACACACACACACACACACACGCACACACACACACACACACACACACACACACACAAGGAAAGTTAATTTTATCTCAAATAAACCTTGTAGGGATTCAAAGCTGTGTGATGAAATGACATCCTCTCTCCTCAGACACTCGACGTTGAGATGTCAAAACAAAAGTCAGAGAGAGAGAGAGAGAGAGAGCTTCTGCAGGATCAGCAAACGAGAGAAAACAAACCAACAAATGATGGTAACTGAATGAAATGAGTGGTTGACAACGCTGCATATAAACCACCGATCGACGAGGAGAATTTAATGATTTCCTTTCCCTTTAACATTCTTTTGTTTGCTTTCTTTGTGGGAAATATTCAGCCAGTCAGCGGAATAAAAGACTTTGTGCAACAAAACTAAGAATCATTTTCATCGTTTTTCACACACAATGCATTCAATTACCAGGGATTTCTCAAACCAACGGACTCCTCTCTCATCTACAGTCCGTCTCCGTCACACATCTAAATCCTGTTTCTGCAGAAAACGTCTCACAAAACTCACTCAGAGCAGAACACAAAGACAACACAAATATGGACAATTCTAATCCTCCTCCTCACAGAGAGACTCCTGTCAGACGGTGATTCAAACCAGGAACCTCCTCACAGAGAGACTCCTGACAGACGGGGATTCAAACCAGGAACCTCCACACAGAGAGACTCCTGACAGACGGGGATTCAAACCAGGAACCTCCTCACAGAGAGGGGACAGAGCTAACCACTGCACTGAGCTCGAACACAAAACACATGAATAAGAGACACTGGCAGGAGATTTAAAACCTGGCTCGACTAATCGAGTGTCAGAGCCACAGAGGCGACTAGGAGCAGCTGTGTTTGAAGGATTTGTGCTGCTGATTAACACGTCAGAGATGTGATGACCCGACTGTTCAAAAACACTTTGATTAAATGACTCAAAGTTCAGAATCTTCTGAACAGTGTCGTCTACACGACTCTATAATGAGAATATGTGTCTTTCTATCAATGCTACGTGTAGTTGAAGAGAATCTCAATGTGAACTAAAGAGTGGAGAAGAACATACTGGAGAACAGGAAACATGCAGCAGCAGGTTGATTAGAGCACGGAGACTTCAGGAGTTTTTCAGGAGTTTTCTGCATGTTTAAAAGCACTGTGTGGAGACTTTTTATAAACTAGCTTCAGTATTGACTGATGCTCATTTGCAGAATCCACTGTGACAGAAACTGTGTGAGTGATGATCCTCAGCAGGTGAATCTGAGCTGAGCTGGTTTATTCCTCACAGATGATCAAACTCGGCTGCATTAGTTGAACATACAGCAGACTTTGGATTAACTAAAAGGAATGTGGGAAAAACAGCAGGTTGGTAACTGTTACGGTTCAAGATTCATGTGGAAAAAAAAACTGAAGTCATTGAGGTGCAAACATTTTTAAATTTTAAATTCTGTGTATTTATTTTACGTCTCTGCAAAATGAATTCCCAAAGAGTTCATTATAATTCAGTTCAAGCGTTTAATTGCGGAATAAAAAAACTCCCTGAAGGTGTTTTCAATCCAAAATGTCTCTAAAATAAACGCTGAAGCTGTGACCTTCATGGAGGTCAAGACCC